TAATATGATTTGTAATTTTTGCAACAAAATATTATTTTGATTTTGACTGCTTGATTAGGATAAAATTTGGATTGTAATTAGTGGTTTTTTTTTTTTTTTTTGGATTCAATAGTGTGATCAAACTAGTCTCTTACAAAGCTGCGTAAGTTAATTTCACTTCAATGAGTTGATTGGACTATTTCATTGAAGTTTGACATTTAGTTTTATAAGTTAATTTCAACTCAACTCCTAGGACTCCTATGTAATAGGAAATGACACAATTTTACTCTTCTTAAATTAAAGTTTTAGTGTAACTTGCCAGCCAAAAGAGTTCTATTTTGGGCAGAATATACATTGTGACAGCTAGGCAGGAAAGAAAGAAGATTTAGGTAGCAACATGACATTAATCCTTGTAATAGATACCTGTTTTAATTCTCACACTTGTATTTGTATTTGTAATAATTTAATCCTGATATTTCTAGAAATTTTAAGTATTTCCTTTTAATTTTGTTAAAAGAATAATTTGGGCATGAAATATAAACAAATGAAAGAAGTTTCTGCCCTTTTAAATCAAAGATGTTTCAATTTTTGCATATTAGTATGATTTAATTACCATAAGAATTTTAATATCAAGACGTTATATATTTTAAAGTACAAGAATTATATTGGTAAGAGAGAAGTATGATAACTAATATATTTGTAATAACAAAAATATAGAGACCAAAAATGTATTTTTAAAGAGACCAATTTTATGAAAAAAAGAATGAACAAACTATAAAAGTGAGAAAAAAAATTCAAATTATATAAAAAGTTAATTTTTTTTTTCTAGTGGGAAAAATTGCTCTCCCTCTCTTGTTAGTTGTTACCCATACTACTACTCCTGTGTTAATAGTGATGTAGAAAAATCAAAGAGATTATATATATTTATAAACTTTGGCCCATCCTGGTAAGTGCCAATTTCAAAACTATTTTGTGAGTTCACCAACATCCCAATTAGGGATGACTTAAGTCAAATATGTCTTCTTCTTCATCTCTATTTTAAAAAATGGGTTTACAAGGAATAAACATCGAATTCGAAACAGAACAGCCAAAGTTGGAGGGCCGTATCCATCTAATTGATATTAAAATCTGAGTATAATATATACAAGTTTAGAGTGTTATATCAACGACCAGAACACGCTATCTATCATGGGTGTTTTTCACAATGGTTGAATAACATAGAGAGGAAAAAAAAAGGAAAAGAAAGGGAAATATTCATCCAAGAAGGGAGTCATTTTCAACCCCTAAATCTCTAATAATATCCACAATTCCACGACATGATCTCCACTGCACCAAGTGCAGCCTAGCCAGTTTTGGAACGCAACACCCCCAAAAAGCAAAGCAGCAGCAACAACTCCAATTTCTGAACCACCCTCAATTGAGAGCAACGTTGCAAGAATATGGCAGGGCGACTCATAGCTTCGGTTATATTCCAATGCATGTCGTAGGCACTGCTTACAGCGTCTTTGCTGCATATGTTCAAGACTGGTTGCAATTCTCCACATCCTTCAGAGTCGTACCAACTTCAGGCAATTTGGTTGAGATGGGAACAGGTGGGTTTAGCTCAACAAATCGGCTGGCATCACCATAACTACCTATATATATTGTGTCGCCCCGACCGTGCCATGTGCCATCTTGAACATTGTTCATTTCCAGCGTTCTCGATTCCTGCTCAAGATTACGAGTATCAGATGACAATTGAATATGTTAGTTTAGGTTGCTTACACATGACAGAATCAGGAAGTTAAATATGAAAACAAGTTTTTTAAGGACAGAACCTGAGATAAGGCGCAGCAGGGACAGATAAGGTGGTAGATGCAGTCATCGAAAGAACTATCTCCACCCTGAAACATAAATAAATATTAATCTGCATGTGAGGAAAACGCCGCCAAGATTTTATTTAACAATATTAATGAGAAAGCTGGCATAGCTATGATGTTAAACCAGATATGAATAAGCAGACACATATGGATGTAAATAATGGTCGCCTCAAACATGGTAAAAAATGGGAGACAAAAATGACATCATTCTACCAATTTTACACCCTCAAACTGTTTGGGAGTGCTTTACTATGGAAGAAGTACTTCTAAATTGTTAAAATTACTTTTCAGAAAACCAAAAATATCTCCAACTGTTTTTCAAAGAAACAAACAATTAATAGGTGGTTTTCAAAGAAGCAATTTATAAACACTTTATCAAGTGCTTTTGTCTTAAACACTTTATTCTTACAACACTCTCCTTCCCTAATTACTTTCTACCCACATCTTCTTTCACTAATTTCTCTCTACCTATTTACTCTCAGTAACTTGCTCTCTAGTCTCTACACACACTTTTTTTCTCACTAACATCTCATAACACGCACACACTTCCTTTCTTACTAGTCTCTCTCTGCACACATTTAGTAAACTCTCTTACAAGTCTCCCTCTCTGCACACCTTTAGTAAAATTTCTCTAATCAGTCTCTCTCTGTACATCTTTAGTAAACTTTCTCTTACAAGTCTCTCTCTACACACTATTAGTAAATTTTTTCTCACAAGTCTCTCTCCACAGACTGTAAGTAAACTTTCTCTTACTAGCCTGTCTACACACTATTAGTCATTATAAGATACAGAAAAATTATCCAAATCATACTAGTCATTCGAACTTTGATGGCTTTTCAAACACTACTTGTGACTATCGACTCCTCAGTTGCACAATCTCATAACAAAATGGCAACATGATGGCGTTATTTTGAATTTCAGTCTTAATTAAGTTTTCCCTATTAAGGCAACTACGAAAAATAGAAACCATTAGTTGATAACATATGAGAATTGAGACGTCTGCAGAAGATGACAAGGGACCACAACAGAACTGACTATAACTTAGATGTAAAAAAGAAGAAAACAAACAAATTGATCAAAAAAAGCAAAAGACAATTTAGAGCACAACAACTTCAGCATCCTTGAAATAGAATGTGTTACAATCAATTAATTTGCAAGTAGAAATGTGAAATAGATAACATCTAGAAGCTGATAGAAAACGAACTCTCACCCTTATATTGAATTTCCTCTTCATCTGGGTGCGGAAGAAGCCCAAATACGTTACTGTCGAAATGGTGAAAGCAATTGCTGAATATAAAAAGTAATGGCGCTTTGTGACAAAAAAGGCGATGAAGTTGCAAAGGGCACCAAGAGCAAGAGCAAAATAAACGGTTCCCTGCAAAATTGTTATTCAGAATTATGGCAAATAGAATTATTTTCATAAGTAAAGAAGTAGAAATTAGGAAAACTGATGAGCAAAGAAAACTGTAATCTAACTTCTTGCCGTCTACTTTCAAAGGTCCAAGCAGCCAAGAGAAATCTTTACCTGAAGAAAACAAGAGCCAAAACCAGCCCTTCTCATATTCTTCCCAAATCTATGACACGGACAGCTGCATCATTAACACAAGTTATGTTACTATTGTGGCTGACTTTGAGGTAGAGAACAAGCCTTATATATAGCAAAATTCCATTTTTCCGCAGAAATTTATCAATAATAGTTATAATTCCAAACTTAACCACAACAAAATATGCATCTCCTGTTAGTTAACCACAACCAAATACAGATACTCCAAACCCATGAGGAACAATTGTGCACAGAAACTATTGATTGACCTTTTTAGACTGGAAAGTTGAAGTCCGAACGACATTTTCAAACTAAAAAAGAAAATATCATCTACAGAGAATCCAGAGAATAAATTGATAGCTACCCCAAAAAATTCCCCTACCTCCCTTAAAAAACAAAAGGAAAAACGAAAAGAAGGGGGCACAACAAATTTCTCAAGAAACAATACACATAGATGAAATATTTTCCGTAGCTGCTATAAACTGGATAAGTTAGGCTAACCATGTGGATTCGATAGCGATGCGGCGGTCCTCGAGGCAATCGAGTAGTTCGCCTTCCCACATCCTGAAAACCCCACCGAATTCGGGTTCCGCTACACCATCTTCGGCGCTTTCCAACTTGGTCCATTTGCCCTGCGTCTGCATCGCCACCGTCGAGCACAACATGTCGAAATCCAGTAACGTCACCCCCTCGAGAAACTTCTCCTCCTCTTCTCCAACAAACCCATTTCCAATCCCCCTCTCCTGCTTCTCCAAATCCGCCATTGGCACTCAAAAGGGAAGGGAAAAAAAAAGTGAAAAAGAAAGATTAGGGTTTCGTTTTCGCTCCGGTTCGGAATCTGCCAATAAAGATCCTCTGATGGAGCATATAAATTACACGGCGCGTAACAGATTAATTGGGAAATTTGTTTAAACTGTTCGGAAGTTGGGTTTTTTGCTGTTGAAAGAGAGAGATAAAGAAAGAACGGAGTGAAGAAATAAATAAATAATATATATCGGTTTTAAAATGGGGTCTCAATTGGCGGGCAATAATGGCGGGACCCACTTTCGCCTTTATCTAAAACAACGGCACAGCTAATGCCACGTAGGCAGAAATCAGATTCCTAAGATTATATTTGATGCTATGTACTCGCCAAAATTTACGGCCGATTCCCAACCTAAATCCGCCGCCGTTAATTTCTTCTGTTTTTCTCACCGGTTTTCGTTTAAAAATTTTAAACTTTGGGCAACACTAAAAGTATGTGCCTAAAAACAGGTTTGATAGAGCATTAGGGAAATTAAAATAACTGGAGTTTAAGTTTAGAGGAGAATAAAATAGGAATTAATTAATTAGGTGGAAGAATTAAGAAATAAAAATTATATTTATTAATTATTAGTGATGAAATGATTTTAAAATTGGGGGATATGAATTATGGAGGAAGAAGGAGGCGCCGTCAGCGGCCGACCAACGGCGACGAAAGGCGCAAAAGCAACCCACATGGTGGGACCCAGCCCGGTGGGTGGGCCCACGTACTTCCTGAGTTGGTTTTGAGTTGATCACCTTCTTATCTGTATTCAATCAAACCATTTTCTGTGGGCAGAATTAACTATAATCATCAGGATTAGATTTGTAATTTAAATCTACTTAAACTAACAAAGTTTAATTGATTTACCACTTTTTAAATTATAGAATATTAAGTTGGTTGTTCAAATAGTTTTCGATGTAATGTTTTAATTAATTGAATTATTTATTATCAACATTATTGACAAAAAAATTATAAATTTGAAATTACTTCAACTAATTAAGACATGTATTTATGAGAAAAAATAGTGATTGGAACTCTACATTTGTTGTGTTAAAAACATTATTAATTAAAAGGGATGGAAATATTATAAGAGTAAAGGAAATATTTAATATTGTCTAAATACTATATATATATTTAACCTGATAATTGAAGATTGATCAAATATAGCCAAATACTAAACAATAATAATGATAAGTTTGTGGTGGATTGAAAAACCAAAAGTCAATTATTTATTATGAATCATTGAAGACTATCGTTGTCAAATCCCAACTTCTTGTTCATGATGTCCGGAAGGGTTACCCCTATTTATTTTATTTATTTTGTTGAACCGAACAAAAAAATGCGATTCATAAGCATTCTTATTTTATTTAATAATAACATTTTTTCTTATTCTATAATATATATCATGCATCGAGTCTAAGAAACTTATACATCATGGATCAAATATAGGAGGTTTAGGTCAAAGTGAACCGGGTTTAACGATAATTGACATATATCTTCAATTAAAAGAAATGGTGAGATTGATCCTCACACCCCAATAATGATTGGATTTGGGCCATCCATATGTGTCTAAGCAATTGCAAGCCAAACCAAGAAACCAATTCGTTGGTTCTTCCTTCTGGGCTTTTCGAGTCTTGGAAGATTTAGATTTACATAAATCCTCTGACTATTATTTCACCATAGCAATATTTATAATTTTAGATTTTAAATTTGAAGTAACATTTTATTTGTTGTTATCAAAGATTCTTCAACCACATTTATCTCTATTTATCTCCAACTAAAAAATTGTAGGTTGGAATGAAATATTCTTATAAATTTGGAAACTTTTGAAACTAGGATTTCAAAATTAGCTATTTAAGTGATAATTTCTAGGATTTAACTAAAGGAGTATCTATAAATGAAAATAAATCAACTAAACTAAATTTACAATCTTTTTAATTTTTTTCCTCAATTAAATCTTTTAATATTTTCAATTTTATTGTTAATATATTTAAAATTCTCAATTAAATCGTTTCATTAAAAAAAATCAAAATTTGATAATTAAAAAGTGATGTGTGTCGGGGTACCATTTTATTTTTCATTTGATGTTTTTAAAAATTAGTTTATAAAACTTTTCACATATATTTATTCCTTGTTTTGTTATCTACTTTAAAAAATATTTTCAATATTTAAACACTATTTTAAAAACAAAAAATTGTATATTTTATTTTTTAAAAAAATTAAATGTGTTTGAAAAATTATAAACATACCAAAGCTTGGGAAAGAAAGTACCATTTTTTAAAATATAAAATAAAAAACGAAGTCATTATCAAACAACAGCCTACATTGTTGTTTATTAAATATATTTGGACATTTGAGCATGTTATTTGGATATATCACTTAAAAAATATTAATTTTGTTAACGAATGGGAGAGACTTTTACTAGTGAACGAGATGGATTTCATGTGTGAAGTAGCATGCAAGTGATATATCCACCTATCTAAACATGTTAATTAAAATAAGATGATATATTACCCATCTAATATATTTAACCAAGAAAAAATGTTAATCCAAACTACCATGGGACAAAACAATGTGTTGTTGAACTAAAACAATCATGAAAAAAAAACTTGGAAATAAGTTTATATCATTAATTAACATAATTCATGATTAATCTAGATGATGGAAGTTTTTTTGGAACAATTACATGACGGAATTAAATCATAGTCATATGTGTTTATTTAAACAATTGACATCTGAATAAAATATTAATGAAAATTTTGGCAGAATGGCAAGATTTTTGTGAGGATGGGTGTAGTTTTTGAACAATTTGGAGGTAAATCATGGGTCCACAACAGTCATTTATTAACATATACGTAACTTTATACTTCAAATTATTATTTCTAAAATAATAAGTTTTTGTCCTACCATAACATCGGATAACTATTCCAATTGGTTAAAGTATGGAGTAAAAAACAGAAGTTCAAAGTCGCACTCTCACGTATAAAACTAAGAAGGATGTAGTTTCTCATTAATAGGCCACATGTGACGTGTTTGAATCATAGAACTTAATACGCTAAAACTTGGATAGTTTGGATAAGTAAATTAATGACCTAAGTTTTGTTTGTAAAGTAAAATTAGTAGGTGTGTCATTAAATTAAAATCAGAGGGTCGTGTGTACTGGAATAAACTCTCAAATTTACAGCCACATAGGTGGAATATGCTAGGCTAAGCTAAGGCTAATATGGCTAATGGCTAGAGTGGGAGGAGAGGGATAACCAAGGAACCACTTGATTTTCCATCTCGTCGTCATCATCGTCGCATCCGCTCCCGCCATTGGAGCTCCCACATCCTTCCTCTCTAATGTCAGCGCAGTTTTGGCAAAACGACACCGTCGGCACGAGCCTGGGCCCAGACCCATTCCACGGCGTCGGAGCCTGGCAGCCATGGCAGAGCAAAACCCTCAAATGCTTCCCAACCAGAAAATTGGCGCCGTGAACCTTCCAATCGCACCCCCAACACAGCCTCGCTTCGTCTGCTCCACACACCACATTCGCCGGAGACTTGCACAGCGAGCACAATGTCTTCATTATTTTCCAGCCGCCAACTCCGTCTTCCGCGATTTATAGCACAAACGGAGGGATGAAAAAGGAGTAATGAAGGTGGCCCATGGAAGTGGGGCATTGGAGAATATTAATTAAATTGGTTTTTTTCTCTGTATTTGGACTCGATGAAGAAAGACGATGGAAGGGACGGGGGGGATTGTTGGGCAAGTGGGTGCTGTGCTCGGAGAATTTTAGACCACAATCTGTGAATCGCGAATTCTGGGTTGCTTCCCAATTTTTGCATTTTTCTTCTTTTGTTTGGAAGTTGACGGTTGTTGAAATTTTTGGTATGGTGTGGTTGGAATTGAAAAGTCTACATGCGCCGTATACCGCGTATCATGCCTTGTACCAAATTTCAACAAAACGTGCCAATTCAATTCAACTACTCATTTCATTTGTACGGCAAAATTTTCAAAACAAATACAAACCACTCCTTACTAATTACTATTAAAACAATAATCTCCTACACGTGGCAACGTCTTTATTATCCTATTTTTTAAGAGTGAATTTTTAAGTTTGGGATAAGTCCCACGAATTGAATTCATTCCATCGTCAGAGAAAATGAAAATTTCTATCCATATTCTTTGATTTTCATTCTCTTCAAGCAAACGAGATCTAAGCATTTTTTCAGAGGAAAGCAAATGAGCCCAGAAAGAAATTGTCTTATTAATTCTCTGTATTATAGCAGCTGTAAATATTTACAGGGAATTGGGCCACATATATCAGAGAAATTTGTTACCTCTGTTAGTTACACAGTAACGCAAACACAAAGGTAATTCAGTGGTTTTCCTTTAACACCCCTCCAAGCCAAGGGGGGCAGGAGAGCTGGGTTTGAGCTTGGCTTTTAAAGAATGAAAAGAAGTAGAAGGCATGGGTTTTGTCAAAATTGTCAGCTATTTGGGCAGATGAAGGTAGATGCTGCACTCGAAGTTGTAGAGAAACAAACCACATCGCAAGGAAGTAGATATCTATCTCAACATGTTTGGTGAACATGTTTGGTGCAGGGGTGGAGAATTGGATTTGCATTGAGTGCTCAAATTATCACACAACAATACTGAAGGATGAGACAGAGGAATGCAGTTCAGTAAAGAAAGTGCGCTGCCAAATTATTTACGAAGTAGTCAAAGCCAAGGATCGATGCTCAACCTTTGTTGGTGGTCAAAATCAAATATCGACAAACGTAGTTTGGAGTATTCATATAGAAGAACCTAGTACCCGCCAACCTGATCCCTACCGAGGTAAAGTGGAGGTACATTCATCGACCCAAAGAATCTAACCTCAGGTCCGACCACCGACTGACAGCCATAACTGTCTGTCATAAGAGTCCAACGGCCCCTACCTGCCCATTAAAGGGACACTCCGCCCCATTGATCAGGTAGGTTATTCCCTCTGAGAGAACGACTTAAACAACTCGAGTTTGCAACTGACTTGGACGTCGGAGTGTTTGTTCTCTGCAAATTCATTTGTGAGCACCTCAGTAGCTCGATTGGAAATCAACATCTGTGCTGGTCCTTGAGATTATTAATTGCTTTTTAGAGCACCAGAAAATCGAAAAGAACCGTATCCATACGTGAGATTTTTTGTCATCAGAATCTAAGGCCAAATCTACATCTGCGAAGCCTTGAAGTTGAAGATCAGAGGGCTTGGGAAAGTATTAAACCATGATCAAAGGATCTTTTGACAAGCTGCCCCGGTGGGTAATAGTTGGTGAATTCATGAATTGACAGACTTTATTCACACAAAAAACAATTTCAGGGCATGTCAAGACTCAAGGGGAAGGGCTCCAACGATACTTGGGTTCATCAAACAAGTCACTTTCATCGTAGGAATTGCCGAAAAGCATTAGCTTTGACAACATCTCTACTTTGGAAGAATATCAGTTATGTACTTTGCTTAATATCGAAATAGCCCTCCATCAGCAATACTTTTCAACATGTCAGTACGTCACATATCTATTTAATCAAAATCACTCAATAACTCTATTTAAATAACTTAAATATAATTATTCTTTAATTAAGTTGCTCACATGTTAATTAATTATTAAATTAACTTTGTTGGTATTTGAAATATTTATTTATTTATTTTTTCAATACTTTGAAATATTTCTTTTTCACCCTTACATTTACTTATTTCTGATAAAATCATAAGCACACGAGATAGAGGTGAGGTATGAAAGAGGAGCAATTGTCTCAAATTTAAAATATATATTAAGATTTGTGTTTTTCTTTGATGGCTCATTATTTTCATGACATTAAAAAAAAAGAAATATATATATATATATATTCATATTGGTGGTGGACAAATTGGTAATGATTAATGAATTTGACATTACTTTTGGAAGATTAAAAAGAATATTTTTGACCAATTAAAAATTCTTTTCCAATATTTAATGATGTTTGGGTTTTATAGTTCAAAATATGTTTTGAGGCTCTAAAGACATATAAAGAATTTTATTAATGATTATTTAAAAAGTATTTTATTTAGGTATACCTAGAATTTTAGTTTTTGAACTTTTAATTAAAGTTGCATTTTTTTAGTAGCAATTAAAGTTGCATTCAACAAGTATGTAAACTTTCAAAAATATCTAACGGGTCCTTAAATTGAATTTTGCATCGGTCCATAAATTTAAAAGAATCTATTAAATAAATACAAAATTAAGACGACTTTTAGGAACTTGCTAATTAAACACCTTTCTAAAAGTTACAAAAAACTATTAAACACAACATTTAAATTTAGGCTAAAGGGGAGCGTGTACGACTCGAAATCTCAAACTTTGAACCCCACTTTGTATGACCCTAGAACCCACAAATCACACGCCCTCCAAATTGTTGTTACTTAAATAGACTTTTTCTACATCTATGATCAGTTATATCAAAATGAACAAAAACAAATATGTGAGATAACCTTAACTTAGGCCTGAGATTAAAGTAAGTTGGATGAGTATCATATCCATCCAAATAACTGCATCAACATGAATCTATTACCTCTTGATTGGAGGTATATGTCAATTACCGCTGAGCTATATTTACTTTGACAACTTCATAATCTTTTAACCTAAATGTGATATGAAGCTCAAATGGAAGCGGACGTTGACAAAGAAATGGCTGTGACGGCCGTTGAAAAATTATTCAGCATAAGAAATGTTGCTATGCCATTCCCAACGTCTTCTCCATATCACGGCTCTGGTTTTGTTTTTCAAAGTCAAAACAATATAATATTAATTCATCATTGTTTCCTGATTTATAATTAGATTTCATGCAATCTTACTATTTTTAATTTCTCCCAAAAGCTCCATGTGTTTTCCGACATGAATTATTTATTTATTTCTAACGTTTTTTTGTATTTCAAAATTTTGCATGTCAAAATCACAGCACCAAATTTTGGAAATTTCAACTTACAAATTTAATATAGGTAAAAAAAAAAACAGAGATATAACTTTACTTGGACACGTGTAACATTGTCTTTTCAATATCAACTTCTTATAATCATGCCGTCTTATTATACTATAAAAAGTAAAAAAAAAATTGTATTTGTAATCCAACAGTGATTTTTTATACTATCATATAATAATTTTTCAGATAGAGTGTTGGATAATTCATTAAATTCTACTGATCAATAAATGAAATACTTTAATAACTATTAAACTTAAAACTCATACTATATAAATTTAAGTACTTGGACAGGTCTACCTCTCCCCGGCCTTAACTTCAAAACTTCATTCTTTTATTTGCAATTCAATATTCTTAAAACGTGTATTTAACAAAATATATTCTCTTTCCTAAAAAAACAAAAAAAACAACAAATTATTCTATTACCAAATATAGAATATGAAAAATAGCCCCATATATGTTAAAAGAAATAACAACTGTTCCTTATTTAAAAAAATTTCTCCAATGAATGCTAACTAACCCTTTTATTAATATTATTTCAAAGTAATTAATATTTTCTCAAGGGGACATATAGTAATATATGAAACTAAGTTTTTTGTCTGTGTCTGTGGAAAGGTTGTCCAGCTAGTCTTATTTTCATTTCTTTCGAGAAAAAAATTGAATCAGGTAATTAATGTATCAATATTGATGAAGTTTCATCGTAAGATCAATTGGCAAGGTGAGAAGTATCACATATATATTACATTTGTTAAGTCTCTTGTCAGTATATTTTAAATTGTCTCAATCTGAAAAGTAGTTTTTTTAAGTACAATATGTAGGGGTGGGAGATTGAACTCACAACCTTTTAATTAGAGATATATGTCAATTATCGATAAGTTATGCTCGTTTTTGTCGGTTTAAAAAGTATTTAATTAAAAAAATCGGACTCTTTTATGGACCCTTTTCATTTTTTTGGGATACGAAGAGAATAAAAATATTTAAAGACCTTGACCTAAAGAATAATTCTCTTGTACTGTTGTCTGGGAATTTTATCACATCACAACTCTTCATCTTAAGATTGAATTATACAATAATTGGTAGCAGGTGAACCGATAAAAAGATATAGCTATTTTATTTCTATATCTAACTGTCAATCAATCATACAATTAGTGGAATTAAGAGAATGAGTTAAAATTAAGTTATTAAATTTTAGAAAAAGTGTCTAATAAAAAATTAAAGTGGTCAAAGCGAGCATAGCTCAACAGTAATTGGTATATATCTCAAACCAAAAAATTGTGAGTTCGATCTCCATCCCAATCTGTCATACTGAAAAAAGAATTTAAATTTAAATTTTATATTTGATAGGGCTTTCGACTTTCAAATTCACAAACTTAAATTTTATGCATAATGTAATTCTATGCTCATAAACAGGTGAAATTTAAAAAATTTAAAAAGCATTTAATAGGTGAAACATGGAGTAAAAATTGAAACTTGGGATGAGCAGACAAGGTTTAATAATGGGCAGTAAAAAACAGCAACTAGGTGTGGGGCCCATTATTGACCAGTTTTGAGGGCCCCACGTGGGTAAATTGTGGGCCAGCCACAAAAGGCCAAGGCGTTACACTGGTCAGAGTTGGCTCCTTCCGTTCGATTCCACTCTTAATTACTTTTTTCTTTTTCTCTCTATTTTTCCTTTTTAAAAATTAAAATATTTGTCTCTCAACCACTTCTTCCACGTGGGTGTTTTCTTCTGACCCCCACGGTTTCTTCTCAGCTTCTCGACCTGGATTTTAAATAAATGTTTGTGTTTGTTTTATAAGCTAAGCCCTTTTCAACAATCAAAATTTGAATGGTTCATTATTTAGTTTTTAAAAGTCTTAAAGTTACATATGATGAAAAAAATAATCTCTTAATCCTTCCTTTCACAATTTAATTTAATAAACTCTAGTTGTGAAGAGTGCAGCTAAAGTATCATACAAAATATAGAAAAAGATCATCCGTATATAAATGAGAGACATCTTTGTTAGTGAGTGAAACAAAAAGTAAAGTTATAAATATGATATTATGTCGAATATCATATTATAGAAATGTGGAGGGTCAATGATACAAAAATGGTATATTAATGATATAGTAGATAAGAACAAAGATATCATATTTGCACATTATTATTATGTAGGACAAATTTGTAAATATGATAACTAATTTTATCCGATATTATAATTATCGGTTACCGTTAGTCAATTTAGTTGAATTACCTCTTGATCTAGTTTGCTTTGTTGATGTATTAGTTTTCCAGAGTCATCATGAGCTTTTTATTTATAGGCGAGAGAATTACATAGCACAAAAGAATATATATTTTAATATATGGTATTAGATTTAAAATGTTATAAAAATTACATAAATTGTAAATTATAAATACATATTCATTTTACAGTATAATTCTCTTTGATAGATTGATTATGCACTTTCGAATTTGTCATTTACAAATATTTTCTTATATTAACCTCTCTTATACGTTGAAGGTACACATTTTCGCTCGTGAGTTGAATGTTGTATTCCATGCAAAACACATTTTAGGAGTAGTTTTTCCCTTAAAAGAATTTTGTGTAGGATGCAATGTATATCGTATAGCATGAACGACCAGTGTTTTGATCTTAAAATTCCAAAGACGGAAGTTGAAAAATCAAGACCAATTTAGTGAAGAAGAATTGAACCGCACCAGCTGTGAGGGAAAAAAAAAAAGAAAAAAAAGACAAATTGAACCTAATACAATTACAAAGAGCCAACCCCACCGGCTTACCCCACCACTAAAATTTGCAGCCTTGATTCCACCTCTCTGTCACAAACGACTAAATTTTTAAATGTTTTGTACTGTATTTGGTAGATTATCAGGGAACTTGCTTTGCTTAGATGAACCAAATATCTTCTAAATTTACCATTTTTCTTTCTGAACATAAAAAAAATGGTGAGGGGTTTTTTTCTTTCCTCCAAAAGAAACCTCTTTTCATCATTCTACTGTACTTGTAAACAGCCGTAATACAGAGATCAAGCCAATACTTTTACCAACACCGAATATGTTGAAAAGGATAAATTTATTCAAAGCTAAATATTTCACATCATCGTGTTTCTGTATTTAATGTTGAAAAGGTTGGAGAGAGAGAGAGAGAGATATGTCTGCCTGCAATTTTAGTGGGGTTAAGCCAAACACTTCAATGAAATTTCTCCAGTGGTGCCCCCCACCTAAAAGCCTAAGAATTGGTAATATCATACCTGTCCATTTTCTCACAAGTCAGAGAATATCGGCAAATAACGCCGCCATTGAAGTTTCTTCATTCAAATTCAGACAGTAGTTTCTTTCTCTATTCTTTCTTCTTCTTCTTCTTCTTCTTCTTCTTCTTCTTCTTCTTCTTCTTCTTCTTCTTTGTCTCCTCTGATCGGCCTGTATTTCTGCTCAGAGATCAGGATATGGGTGGCAATTGCAGAAAGGTTGTTGGGTTTTTACAGTTCTTACTCATTTCTTTCTTTTTCGGCTCTACTCTGTTTTGTGACGCCGCAGATTCAATCTCCAATGGCAGAGAATTAAGAGACAGTACTAATGAAACCCTTATATCCCCTAACGAGTTCTTCGAACTGGGATTCTTCAGCCCCCAAAATAAGTCCTCATTACGGTACGTGGGAATATGGTATTACAAGATCGAGGAACAGGCTGTTATTTGGGTCGCAAACAGAAAAGAGCCACTTCGAAACAGGGATGGGGTTTTGAAAATCGGAGACGACGGAAATTTGGTTGTTCTGGACGGCAACAACGTGGTTTGGACAAGCAATATTACAGTGAATACGTCTGATCCCTCAAACTTAACTCTCCACAACAACGGAGAATTGGTTCTGTCGCGCGGAGACGCCGTCCTCTGGAAAAGCTTCGATCACCCGACGGATACATTTCTTCCGAACATGTTGGTGGAGGTGAGCTCAGAAATAGGGGAGAAACGATTGTTCATGTCGTGGAAATCGGAGACCGACCCAGCTGTGGGAAATTACTGTCTGGGGGTGGATCCTCGTGGAGCCGTACAGATTATAATTTGGAATGGAACTGGGAATAATCGACTGTGGAGAAGCGGCCACTGGGATAAACAGATATTTTCTGGGGTTCCGACTATGCGTTCGGCTTCGTCGTACGGTTTCACTGTGAACGAAGAGAGCCGAGGACGCGGACTCGTGAGTTTAAAATTTCGTCCATCGAATGATTCCGATAGGATGAAATTTCAGATACGGTGGGATGGAAAAGAAGCACAGCAACGTTGGAACGAAGGGAGTCGCAAATGGGAAACGATGCGTTTACTGCCTTCTAACGATTGCGACTTCTATAATTTCTGTGGGGATTTTGGGGTTTGCTCTGAATCGAGTCGTCCCAAGTGCACTTGCCCTCGAGGGTTTGAACCCAAAGACAACGATCGATGGAGCAGAGGGATTTGGTCAGATGGGTGCCGGCGGAAGACTCCATTACTTGAGCAAAGGAAGAATAGCAGTGATTTTAATGGAACTGCGGGAGATGGGGAGGAAGATGGGTTTTTTGACGTAGAGTTTGTGAAATTGCCTGATTTCATATCTCAAGTATTTGTGGACTCGTGTAAAGACAGATGCTCGAACAATTCTTCGTGTATTGCTTATTCGGATGCTCCTGGAATTGGGTGCGTTACGTGGGATGGACCTTTGGTTGATATTCAGAAATTTGATGGAGCTGGGCATACTTTGCACATTCGTCTCGCTCATTCTGATTTGGGTAAGCTTTTCAAAACTTGCAATCCCTTCTCTGTTTTGTCCAATTTTTGTGACATTAGACTTTAATAAATAGTAGAAGAAGTATAACCACCGAATTACAAGAACTGATTACACAAGATCTTGGGATATTTGAATAAAACAGAGAGATAACAGTTCGGTAGGTCTCTTTCATTTTCATTTCCGAGAAAAAGCACAATTAGATTTTAATGCTTTGAAAGGATTTCCTTTAATATCGTTCTGGAAAGGTAAATCAGATTTTAGTTCTATGACAAGAAAGGGTGAAGAAATCTGCCATCTTTTGATGTTCTCCCCTGTTGTGTTGTTGTTCGGAAATAGTAATCATGTGATATTTTCTACTCTTAGTATCTGTAGACAGCGGGAGCAGATTGTCGGTTGGTGTGATAGTATCGATATGTTTGGGAGGAGCAGCTGCCATAGCCGTATTAGCGTTGCTGCTATGGAAGTTCAGAGGAAAATCGAAAGGTTAGATCATATTTTAGTTCTAGTTCTCTCTTGGTTTGGAGAATTGTAACCATTCCTTTGCTGAATTTGAGGATCTTACATTGTGGTTTTCTCAGGTTCACCAGATGCTTCTGCGAATCAAACTCAGAGCAAAACTGAGGTACCAATGTTTGACCTGAGCAAGAGCAGAGAATTTTCAGCAGATCTTTCTGGGCCATACGAATTAGGCATAGAAGGTGAACAATTGAGTGGACCAGATTTGCCAATGTTCAATTTCAACTGTGTAGCTACTGCTACAGATAACTTTTCTGAGGAAAACAAGCTTGGCCAGGGAGGTTTTGGGCCGGTATACAAGGTAAGTAAACTTCCAATAATTTCTGATGCAAAGCCAAGAAAATGAGCTCATTTGGTGCTAATATTAAAGCCTTCTCTTCTCCTCTCTTTTCTTTTGCCAGGGAAAGCTTCCAAGTGGACAGGAAATCGCTGTGAAGAGGCTCTCGGTCCGGTCTGGCCAAGGTCTAGAAGAGTTCAAAAATGAGATTATACTTATAGGAAAGTTGCAGCATCGAAACCTTGTCAGACTTTTGGGCTACTGCATACAAGGGGAGGACAAGATGTTGCTCTATGAATATATGCCAAACAAAAGCTTGGATTGGTTTCTTTTCGGTATCTACTTAGGCTCTTCTATTAATAAACTGAAACTTGCATATATACTTGAATGTTTGAATTTTGGGTTTAACATTCTTGCACAATACTTTTGGTGGCAATGATGCAGATCCGATTAAGCAGGCTCTACTAGATTGGAGAGTACGGTTGTCAATCATCGAGGGAATTGCACGAGGGCTTCTATACCTTCATCGAGACTCAAGGCTTCTTATTATTCATCGAGATCTAAAAGCTAGCAACATTTTGTTGGATGAAGACATGAATCCAAAGATATCAGACTTTGGCATGGCTAGAATATTTGGTGGAAACCAAAACGAGGCGACAAATACCATTCGTGTTGTTGGCACATAGTGAGTATAGAGAACTTACTTATGCAGAACTCTTAACTTCAATAACCTGATAAATCTAACCTTCGTGATCATTCTCTAAATGCAGCGGTTACATGGCTCCAGAATATGCAATGGAAGGTCTATTTTCGGTGAAATCAGATGTCTATAGTTTTGGCGTATTATTGTTAGAAATAATCTGTGGCCGGAGAAACACTAGCTTTCGCACAACGGAATACTTAACCCTTATTGGCTATGTAAGTTCCTCTCTTCTACTGCCTACTGAACTTCAATCAGCAAGTTGAGATATTTAGTCACAGACTGAATATGAAAAACTCTTTTCAGGCTTGGAATCTTTGGAACGAAGGAAGAGCGATTGAGCTTCTCGATCCATCTATTCGCGATTCATCCCCGGAGAATGAAGTAATGAAATGCATACATGTAGCAATGTTGTGTGTACAAGACTCCCCAGCCTTCAGACCAACACTGCAGACCTTGGTGCTAATGCTGGAGAGTGAATCTACTTCTCTGCCACAGCCAAGACAGCCTACGTATACTTCGACAAGAGCCTCGATTGATACAGACTTGTTTACGGACGGCCACGACATTGCATCATCGAACGACGTGACAGTGACAATGTTGGATGGTAGATAGCATTTTCTCTTTTGGTTCTCCCCCATTAATGTTAATATATGTCATTTCGCTTGTCTTTGAAGAATAGGCAGTTAGTTTACGAAGTGAGTATAGTATTTTATACAAAGCCTGTTCATTTAAGTGATTGGTTTTGGTTAACTATTGTGATAGGTAAGTTGAAGCAGAAGTAAAGGGCTGATGAGTTGAGAGTTAAAAGTGGTTGGCCGATTGATAGATTAGGTCTGTAATTTTAATTTATATGGAAGCAAAGATAGTTTTTTTAGTGTTGGAAACTGGCCTTTCAATTATTGCTGCAAGAAGGTCAATTAGAAAGAAACACGAGTGTTTCTATCTTTTGCTGTTAGAAAAGCTCCTCGGAGATGTAGCAATGATGTACATAACAAGGAAAAGAAGAGAGAAAGAAATCTTGAGGTTGTCTTACTTGTTTCTGGTTTCAGAAACTTCTGTGCATATATATTTTTTTAAGCTTTAAATCTTGTTTTGGTATTATCTAGTTCAAATATACGTCGACGTTAGCAAATTAGTACACTTACTAGAAACTATGTCATCCATTTATTTAAAGCAAAATAACGATAATGATCACAAATTGGTTGTTTTTTTTTAGTTTATAATGAAATAAACTCGAAAATTTAGAGACAAAAGTAGGGAGTTCAATGTTTAGGAACCAAGAAGTAGTATTTGTTTTAGAAAGTAAGAGCTATATGTCAAGGACAACGATAGCTTAAGTATCCCCAGTATCTCCAAAATGGTATGATATTGTCCATTTTAGGCATAGTCTTTATAGTTTTACTTTTGGTTTCATCCAAAAAGTCTCATACCAATGGATAATTGTCCTCATCTATATACCATGGATCATTCTCTTACCTAACCAATGTAAGACTTCATTTGCATTGCTCTTATAAATCCAACACTACATCTCTCACACGATTGTAAGAATAGTTAGGGACTATGCGATTACTATAAGAGATCCAATGAGCGGAATCCGTCTGCTGCCACCTCAGTAAGCATGCCAAATCACCAGCTGATTCACCATCAATGTCAGCAAAATATAGTCATAAATCAGCGGCATATTACATCAAAATCCTCTACCTAAATCACTGCCAATATCCATGAATCTTTTCCTAATATCAGACCATTTGTTCCTTAGGAAATGATATTACTGTTGATGCAAATTTGTGCAAAACTTTACCCACAACTCTCCTTTTGTTCCTTACTAAATGAGCGGAGATCGTGGTCATTGGATCTCTTAGAATTACCAGTTGGTAGTTGGTACATCTTCCATATGTAGTTCCTGATGATAGGAGTAGAACCAATGGGGATAATTCAGTGTACAGATAATAGATCCAAGTAAATGATTATAGTAATAGATCCCATCAGCTGGATTTTGTGTGAAAAAAATAATCAGATACAGAAACGAATGGATGATGAATGATTTACCCAAGTAGAAGCAGGGAAGAAACAGAGAGTAGAAGAAAAGTGAGAAAAAAAGGCATGAAATTGGGTTGAAAATGCCTATTTTTGGGAAAAGGAAACATTGGTACAAACCTAAAAGCACAGCAACCACATGGCTATGGCTATGGCTATGGCTATGGCTTTGTTTCCTTCAAATTTTACAAAATTATAACTTAAGAAAGAAAAAAAGAAAGAGGAAAGAAAAGAAAATGGCTTCTATTCTTCCAACCCTATAGGCTATAGTTTCCTTTCCTTGGGCTGCTTTTTTCCTTTTCAAAACATACTAGTGTGGTTAATTAATGATTAAATTATATTAAAATAAGAGGCTAAGAATTTTGGAGTAGTCTTACTCACTCCTTTTGACTCGATAATCCAACTGTCAATTCATCATCAGTTTATGTAAATAGTAAATTGAATCAAACTAATTAATCATCAAAATCTATTTTAACTAAATTCCAACCTTTCATTTTTCAACCTATGCCTATGCCTATGCCCTCTTCTTCTACAATACTGCACCTATTTTAAGATTTTGCTTTCAACTTTTTCAATTTTAATCATTTTCCCTTTTTGAGAATAATATCTTAACAACATAAAACGTTAAATAATCAACTTTTACCTCTGGTGAGTCCATTTTAACTTAAGGATGCAATTAATACATTCGATTATTAAAGTTTATATGTATAGATATATATATATATAGTTAGTGTATTGGATGCTTTTATTTAATTGAATTTTGGTATTTTGTTACTAAGTTTGAACGTTTTTTATTGCCGGGTATCTTCAAGATTGAGTTTGAATATTTATTTGACATGATGTTGAAAGTTTAGATATTTGAATTTTGTTGGTTTACTAGTCGCTTTATGGTTAATATAATAATCAAATTAGAATATACTTATAGAATATTGGTATAATAGCGTAAATAAATATTGCCACCCTGCTAATATAAATATAGATATATTTAACAGTATTATCATCCATTCCTTTTTACTGTTAAAGGTATTAATTGATTATAAAAAGATTAATACCTTATATTCCAACATCCTAGTACATTGACTTTGGTGTTAGATTCGAATATGCACCCGTAGTCGTATTTGGGATGTAATATTCTAAATTTTTTTTATTAATATTGATATAAATGGTTGATTGAAATAATTAGTCCTGACCTTCCTTCAAAAAAATGTTCATTCATTTAAATATTCCTCCTATGCATTATTTATTTAGAGATAACCAATATCATATAATTGTTTAGAATAGAATCGTTGGGTATATTGGTAATTTCAGAAGCTTACAAAATTTTCCACGTCGGTACTCTCGGTTACTTCGTGGACTTTTCTCATGACATCGAACTTTTAAAGCCGGCGGACCGGTTCCACGGTAAACCGTAAACCCACCAACACTGAATTTCCACTACTACCCCCGTGAAGAGAAATATATTCCATTATGTTGCCAACAAACGTTATAGAAGCTTCTATATTAATATTACTAATGAGAAAAGTAAGTCTTATTTATTTTTGTAGATAATCTTTTAAATTTTCTTTTGAGATTTTTAAATTTCGAGATTTGTTGTTGTTATAAAGTTATAAGTTTCTTTAAAAAAATTGAAAGGAGCTTCAACAAAAGAAGTAGTTCAAACTGTCCCTATTTATTTTATAAACTACTTTAAAATCCCAGAAAATGATGTGATATGGAGAAATAAAAGAGAGAGTCCAGAAAGATATATGAAAATGGAAATATCCTAATTCAAATAAGGACGACTTTGCATAAATTTAGTATTGATCCGTTTATTTATTCTTTCTTTTTGTTGCTAAATCCTTGTTGTCATTCCTGATTAAAAAAAAAAAGGAAAAGATTTAAAACGCGAATGAATTTAATTCACATGAAATGATATTTTTGGTGTATTTATTGAAATTAGAAAAGATGGAGTATGAAAATTGAAATTTGATGTTGAAGGGAAGGTTATTATAGGAATTTGGATATGTAGTGTGGAGAGGCAAAGGTATAACGCATACGCAACCTTAGTGATTGTCAACTCACGGATTAAAGTAATGAATTTGTGAAACTCCCACCTCATTTCCGCTCCACCAAAGTCCAAACAAACACACAACCAGCAACCGAACCTAAGTCCAAAAAGTCCAAAATATCCTTTTTCCCTTTAATTTTTCTCATTTTCATTGTCGTTATGTAAAGCAAGGTATTTTCATTTTGCAGAGGGAGATAATAGAAGTAGATGTAGAAGTGAATAAAGTTTAAAACTTTTGGTTTTGGTGGGTGTTATTTTCTTTTTGTTGGGTCGAATTAAATTAATGGGTGGTCTCCGGAAATTATGATTTTGTTATATATTAGTTTAGTTAGTGGGTTTTAGGTAAATTCAATTGTGTCTGCTTTCTTGCTTGAGAAAAAGATAGGGAAGAGAGATTTCTCTCTCTTTTCTCTCTCTCTGTATTGTGTAATGGAAGTGTATGGTGTTGGAGCTTTTGCAGCATCCAAAACCTCATAAACCCTCGACTCGATTCGGCTCCAAGTTTCAGAGAGAAGAACAGCGAGGCGAAAATGGCGGTTCCGTGTCCGGATGATTTCAAATGCCCAATTTCTCTGGAGATAATGTCGGACCCGGTAATCCTCTCCTCCGGCCACACCTTCGATCGGGCCTCAATCCAACGCTGGCTCAACGCCGGTCACCGGACTTGCCCAATCACCCAGCTGCCGCTCCCCGAAAACCCTCCCCTAATCCCCAATCATGCTCTCAGAAGCTTAATTTCAAATTACAACCCTGT